GGAAAGGAACAAAGGAAAAGTGGGGAAGGAAATAGCAAAATGGTAGACTTAAACTCAGTCATTAATAAATACGCTAACTACAAGTGTCCTAAACATTGCAATGTGAAGGCAGAGGCTGTCAGCTGGAGAGAGAAAAAGTAAGATCCAATAATACGCTGCTTATAAGGGACTTTATTTCATTTCTTTAAATGGAAGTGTTTTTAATTTACAGTATTGTATTAGTTTCAGGTGTATAGCAAAGTTATTCATGTATGTATGTTAGATTATTTTCCATTATATGTTATTACAAGATATTGTATGTAATTTTCTATGCTATGCAGTAGGTCCTTCTTGTTCATCTGTTTTATATAGTAGTGCATATATGTTAATCACATATAATTAACTAATGGGATTAATCCCTTAGTCCCAATTAATTCCTCTTTCCCCTTTGGTAACTATTAATTTGTATTCTATATGAGTCTGCTTCTGTTTTGTATATAGATTCATTTGTATTATTTTTCAGATTCCACATTAAGTGATGTCATATATGTATTTCTCTGTCTGATTTACTTCACATAGTTTGAAAATCTCTAGGTCCATCCCTGTGGCTGCACATGGCAATATTTCATTCTTTTTTATGGCTGAGTGATTTTCCACTATAGATATATATGCATATTGTATACATATTTATATATATATATATACACACACACAGAGCCTTAAGCAAATGAATCACCCAACAGACCTAGCTGACATTTGTAAGCACTCTTTCCTACCTCAGTGGAAACATTCACAGAGAACTTTCACTAAGACAGACCAAATCCGAGTCATACAATTCGTCTCAGTAACCTAAAAAGATTCCAATGATTTAAAGTGTGTTCTCTGGACACAATGGAACTAAATTAAAATTCAACTGCAGCAGCAGAATGCTAGCTAGCCAACCCCAAATATTTGGAAACCAACTAACACACTTCCATATAACCCTTGGGCCAAAGGAGAAAGCAGGAGGAAAATGAGAACCTATTTTAAAACAAATGACATATCAGAATTTACGGCGTGTATATGGAGCAGTACTCGGAGGGAATGCTTGTATCAGAAAAGACGACTGGTCTCAGATCAGTGAACTTAGCTCCCACCTTTAAGAAATAGGAAGAAGAAGAGCAAATTGAAGAGAGGAAACAAATCAGAAGAGAGGAAAACATAAAGAGAATGGAAAATCAGTGGAATAGAAAACAGGAAAGTAATAGAGAAAACAAATGAAACCAAAAGACGCTTTTTTGGAAAATCAACACAGTTGATAACCTCTAGCCAGAGTGATCAGGAAAAAGAGAAAGAAGATGTATATCTCCAACATCAGGATGGAGGGAGGTGATTTCATCAGATTCTACAGGTATTTGAATGATAACAAGGGACTATGATGAACAACTTAAGGCTGATAAAAGGGTGACTTAGACGAAATGGACAAGTTCCTTGAGAGACACAAACCATCAAAGCTTGCTGGAGAAGAAACAGCATCTGAGCAGCTGCACCTGCATTGAAGAAATCGAATTTGTGGTTAAAACCTTTCCATAAAGCGAACTCCAGGCCCAGAGGGCTCCACTAGAGGGTTCTACCCCAGGCCTGAGGAACAGAGGAAGCCAGCGTGTACATTCTCCCGGGAAGCTGAAGGGGAGGAAGCCCCTGCCCTGCTCGCTTACCGGTTCCCCGTGTCTCTGCCGGGGGTTGGTGGCGTTGAGCTGAAAGGAAGAACATTCTCCGCTCCCGAACGTCAGCACTTGGCTGGGATATCCACTGTTGTTGTTCATTGGCTCAGTCACGTCCGACTCTTTGCGACCTCATGAACTGCAGCACGCCAGGCTTCCCTGTCCATCACCAACTCCCGGAGCCTGCTCAAATGATGTCCATTGAGTCGGTGATGCCATCGAATCATCTCATCCTCTGTCATCCCCTTCTCCTCCCTCCTTCGATCTTTCCCAGCATCAGGATCTTTTCCAATGAGTCAGTTCTTTGCATCAGGTGGCCAAAGTATTCAGCTTCATCAGTCCTCCCAACGAATATTCAGGACTGATTTCCTTTAGGAGGGACTGGTTGGATCTCCTTGCGTTTCAGAGGACTCTCACGATGCTCATGGGTAGTGACAAGTGCTCAGACAAGGGAAACATCCATTTAATTAGCACCGCCTCATCCTGCCCCCTGCAAGCATGGAGTGCATGTTATTTTGCTGACTTTTCACAGCCCTCACGGTGCTAGGGATTATTTTCCTGATTTTAAAGATGAGGAGACAGGTTCACAGAGTGCGGTGAGTTGGCCGTAGACACACAGGCAGAGAGCAGAGGTTCCAGGCCCGTGAGCCAGCGCTGCTGCCGAATGGGGTCATGGTGCTCCCGGCAAGGCCGAAGGGAGGGTGGCGTTGGTCGAAGGTTGATGACACGCGGGACTCAGGGAGGGTGGGGGGACAGGTCAGCAGGAGGAGGAGGGCTTGTGAGCTCTCAGGGCATCGTGACCGTACCGCTTCCCTGGGGCAGAGGGGAGGGCTTGGCTGGCACGTGGGGCTTCATCTGGGGGTCTTGAGCAGGGGGTGGCAGGTCGTGGGACCCCAGGGAGGTTCTAGAGCAGGTGTGTGGGCAGGTGAGGACAAAGCTCCAGGAGGAGGACTGCGGTAGCGCAGGGCAGGAGGACGGGGCGGCGAGCTCAGAGCCGTTCCCGCGGTGTCGAGCTCAGGCCAGAGTTGGGAGAAGCGGGCGAGCTGCTCTAGGAGGAGGCGTGGGCTGGAAAGGGTCACTTCAGAGGGGCTTCAGAGTCCGGGGGCGCAGGAGTCCATCTGGGCAGGAGGTCTAGGGGGGCGTGGGTCTGGGGGGTGTTCGGGGAGGTTGAGATTTGGGAGCAGAGGGCCGGGGGAGGGGAGCCCCCTGGCACATCCAGGCCCAGGGAGAGGACTTGGGCCGGAGACACTGGACAGGGAGGCGGAGGTGGAGGCCGAGCCACATCAGGCCGCCTTGGGGCAGGTCTGAACGCCGCCAGGGTGACCCCCGGGCAGCTGGGGATGCAGACACTGCTGAAGGAAGGGGAGACAGGGCCTGAGGGCGCGGGTGGCAGGAGGCGGCTGGCAGCTCCAGACGGCCCTGGGGACTGTGACTCACCCAGGCTTCCAGGGAGTGAGATTGGCTTCTCCAGGGACGTGGGGCGGGAGTGGGGGGAGCTGGCCAGGCACCCTGAGGCGTCACGGCCCAGAGGCCACCGCCCCACCCCTGCACCTGCCCTGGGAGGTCCCAGGCCTCCTGGGGGTGGCGACAGGCAGGGACCAGTCATTGTGCTTCTGTTACAGAAAATTCTGCCTATAGTCAAACAGATAAAGGATGCTGAGAGGCCACCCCCCTCCCACCCTCGTGGGCCTCAGGTGAGCCCAGACTGAGCACTTCCGAGGCTCTTCCCTGGCTTCTTGGAGTGTCTGCACGGTCACCACACAATGCGCTCACCCTGGGGTTTGCCAGCCTGCACGCCAGTTATGCTGGTTGAGGCCACAGCTTTCCCAAGCTGGCCTCTCCTCCCCATCCTTTCAAGGTGTCACGTCACAATCTGGGGTCCCAGCCCCTGACTGTGGTCTGGGTTGGGGCCTCCAGGCCAGCCTGCCCGAGTTTGAACCCTGCCTCTGCAGTTGGCAGCTGTGTGGCCTCGGGCAAGTTACTAAGCCTTTCCGTGCCTGTTTCCCCATCTGTAGAGTGTGTGAGTGACGGTCGGGGTTATTATAGAGTGATGCTTGGGGTCGCCCAGTGCAGAGAGACCCACCAGCGTCAGCTGTCCCTGCTGGGCTGTGTTAGCTCCATTCTTGGCTGAGTTTTCCTTTTCTTGAAGTTAAATACCCGTTTTGCTTTTTAAAAAAAAATATTTGTTTCTTGCCGTGCTGGATCTTCGTCGCTGTCAGGCGTTTCCTTTAGCTGGAGAGGGTGGAGGCTCCTCTGGTGTGCGGGGCTCTCGCTGGCTTGGCTTCACTTGCTGCAGAGCGGCGTGGACTCTAGGTGTGCCGGCTCACGGGTTGCGGCTCCCGGGCTCTGGAGCACAGAGTCAGGCATTGTGGCCCACGGGCTTAGTCGCCCTGCGGCACGCGGCATCTTCCTGGACCAGGGATTGAACCTATGTCTCCTGCGCCGGCAGGCAGATTCTTCACCACTGAGCCACCGGGAAGACAACTACCCATTTTTCATTTGCTTATTTTCTATGTATCTATCAGCGTTCTCCAGTGAGAAGAACCACATGTGTGCGGTAAATCTGCCTGCCAGTGCAGGAGACACAGGAGATGCAGGTTCGATCCCTGCATGGGGAGAAGGTAATAGCAACCCACGTCAGTATTCCTGCCTGGAGAATCCCATGGACAGAGGTGCCTGGCGGGCTGCAGTCCATGGGGCTGTGAAAACACACACACATGCATGTGTATATATATATGTGTGTGTGTGTGTGTGAGATTGCTAATAATATATATTAATTAATATATAAATTAATTATATGCTGTATATATTATATACTTATATAATTAATTATTTTATATGTATATAAAGAGTTGTTTTCAGAGAACTGGCTTTGTGGGGTCTAGCTAAGTCTGAAGTCAGGGTGGAGGTCTAGGGTCTGTCGAGGGTGGGGTGGAGGTTCCAAAAGAAGTGTTGACGACCTCGTCCCAGAGCCTGTGAACCTGACCCTATCTGAGGAAAGGGTTTTGCAGATGTGCTTAAAAGTGTCTTGAGATGAGACTGTCCTGGAAGGGCCCTACATCCAACAATGGGGGCCCTTATAAGACAGGAGAGGAGGCCCAGATACGCACGGGGAGGAGGCCAGGTGGAGACGGGGCGGAGGCGGGGGTGACGCGGGCAGGTGCCCAGGGCCGCAGGAGCTGCAGGAGATAGGAAGCCCCTCCCTGGAGCCCCCAGAGGACGCCCGGCCCCGCCGGCCCCTGGGTTTCGGACTTCGGCCTTCAGGGCCGGCAGAGAGCAGGGTCCTGTTGCTTCAAGCCCCCAGTCTGCGGGCCTTTGTTACAGCAGCCGCAGGACGCTGGTCCGGGGAGGCTCGGGAGCACCCAGGGTCTGTCCGCAGCGTGTGGGTGCCTGGCGCTGGGCCTGGGCGAAGCTGGAGGGGCCCGCGCGTCCTGCAGCAGCAGCCACTCGGGACTGCTCCTCCCGAGGCTGCCCCTGTCGCCTTCCCACGTCCTCAGGGGGGCCTCCCCCCGAGCTGGGGGCCAGGGCGCGCTGCGTGCCTCCCTGTGGGACGGGGAGGGGCTCAGGGCTCCCCCAGGGCAGACATCCCCTTGGTGGTGCTAGGGTGGGGGGACGCCTCCTTCTGAGACACAGTCTCAAGGTCTGGACAGCAGCATTTCCCGAAGGAAAGAATGAATGAACGAGGTGTGCAGCGGAGCTAGGGTGAGGCCTCACGCCCCGGCCGTGAATCTGGCTGGCTGCGGTGGGGTCGGCCCTGAGGAAGCCTGAGAGGATTCCTGGAGGCACAGCAGTCCTGCCTGGCCTGTGAGCTCTGGTGAGACCCCAGTGTCCCCCCAGTCTGGGGTTGGGGAGCTGGCCTGGGCCTCAGGCACACAGACACGGGTCCTGGGGGGGCCCGCAGCGTCCTGAGGACGGCAGCCCCCTCCCACGAGGCCTGACTCACCACGTCCTGCCAGTCTCGGCCGCCGTAGGATGATTCAGCCCTGCCATCGCACGACATTTGCCGTTTTTCTCACCAGTTTCTATTTTGAAAGCCGCGTCCTTTTGCATCTGTAGTCATTCTGGGCCTCTTTTTACTAGAACCTTCAGCGCCCTTTAACACATTTTATACTCGTTGAAAAGGACAGGCTTAAAACGGTCGTAAATCTCAAGGCTAATTCCAGACGCTCTACAGAGCGGACGTCAGCGGTGGGGCCTCGGGACCCCCACGCGGCCCCCGCCCCCAGTGCCATGGCTGGGCTGTGGGCAGCGTGTCAGGCCCACCCATGGACTCCTGCCCTGCCCAGGGGGCCTTCTCCCGTCCAAGTACTAACCGGGCCCCACCCTGCTTCGCTTCCGAGATCAGACGAGACCGGGCGCGGTCAGCGTGGTGTGGCTGTAGACCAGCGGGCCGTCTCTGTTTCCTTGAAGAGACTGATTCTGAGATACCTTCAGCATGGCCTGCCTCACCCCTCTGTTAACCCGGGGGGTATGGCTAGGGGGCTTCTCGAAGGCAGCTCTGATGCCCCTGGAAGGGCTGCTCCATCTCTGGGAGGGTCCCTGGGCCTTCGGTCATCATAGCGGACCAGTCGGGGCAGGGGTCCAGGGTTCCCACCCATGTGCTCTCCCTTGAGTCTGGTTTGGGTCTAGGGGGAGCGACCATCCCCCTGGACGCCCAGGAGATGGGACTGCAGAGCCGGGCCTCCAGGAGGGGCCGGGGCTCTCAGTCCCAGGCCAGCAGGACCCGAGGGGCAGGGACCCTTCTAGAACACGCCCCAGAGAGAGGCTGACACTCAGACAGTGCTGGGCGGTGAGCCTGGCCCTCCTGGAGCCTTGGGGCGCTGAGACACGCGTGTTCGGACACCAGCTCCTCTGTCTCCTGATTCTCGAGGCCGTACCACGGCACGGCTGTCATGGGCTGTGGGATTTATCAGGGTGCTCTCTCTCAGGACAAAGGAGCAGGTCTGGGCAGGGAAAGCAGACGGGGTCCCTGGAGCCCCATCCCTCGGTCCCTCGGGGAGCTGGGTGCGCGGTCAGTCTCGGGAGGGCCCGGCTTGTGGTGGGGAGGCTGGCCTCCTGGTACAGCCGTCCCCCTTGGGATGGAAGGCAAAGCTCCAGCTCCGGGGCTTCCTGGTGACTAAGATGGTAAAGAATCTGCCTACCGTGCAGGAGGCCTGGGTTTGATTCCTGGGTCCGGGAGACCCCCTGGAGGAGGAAATGGCAACCCACTCCAGTAGTCTTGCCTGGAGAATCCCAGGGACAGGGGAGCCTGGAGGGCTGCCAGCCATGGGGTCGGGAAGAGTCGGGCACGGCTGAGAGACTAAACCACCAAAAGTGCCAGGGAGCGGAGCAGCTGACACCCCCAGAACAGCTGGTGGTGCAGCAGCTAGGGGGACGGGGGGCCCCTGTTCCCACCACGGTCCACACACGCCTCTGAATTCACACGGGGCACGCACGCTGTCCACCATGAGCCACATGTGTGCTACCGAAAATTTGGGATGAACACACAAATTGTGAGAGAGAGAGAGAAAGAGAAAGAGAGACCAAGAAAGGAAGAGGAAAGGAGAGAAGGAAGGAAGGTACGGCGTAGAATTTCGTCACATAGGAATAGCCGTGATTGACTCGGGGGCGTGTTTTAGTATAGCTTTTAACCTTTTTTTTGAAAAATTAAATTAGGTTTTTCTCTGTTACCTTTGACCTCCTCCACTCCTTTCTTCCGTCCTCCTCTTTGCCCCAGAAACCAGCAACGTATTCTCTGTACTTATGAGCTTGTCTATTTAAAAAAAAACTTTTTTTTCAGACGCCACACACGAGTGAGATCATACGGCATCCATCCTCCTCTGTCTGATCGCTTCACTTAGTGCCAGACCCTCAGGGTCCGTCCACGTGGTCAGAAATGGCAAGGCTTCATTCCTTTCCATGGCTGACATTCCATCGCTGTACGCACGCCGCGTCTTCTCTTTCCATTCACCCGTCTGTGGGCACTTGGTTGCTTTTATGTGTTGGCTCCCCAGGTGGCTCAGTGGAAAAGGTTCACCTGCCCACACAGGAGAGGCAGGAGACGCATGTTCGATCCCTGGGTCAGGAAGATCCCCAGGAGAAGGGAATGGCTACCCTGTCCAGTATGCTTGCCTGGAGAATCCCGTGCACGGAGGAGCCTGGCGGGCTACAGTCCATGGAGTCGGACACCACTGAGCGACTAAGCACACGTGCCTGCCCGTTTTTACACTGGACTCTTTGGCCTTTTTGCTACTGAGGTGTATGAATTCTCCATGTGTTTTGAACGTTAGCCCTCTGTCAGATGATACGCTTTGCAAACTCGTTCTCCCATTTGTGCGCTGCCTTCTTACTTGGTCCGCAGTTCCTTTGCTGCTGGGCGGAATGTTCTTAGTGTGATGTAGTCCCACTTGTTTATTTGTGCTTTTGCTTTTGCATCCAAAGCTCAGTATAGCCTTTTTATCCTTTTAACATACTTTGTGCCTGAGGCACACGGCTGAGGACATTCTGCATATGGTGACTTTCGGGCGTGATTGAGAAGACAATGGGATGACACCTGGGGGCAAGTTTGAGGGATGGTGAGTGCAGATCTGGTGTGTCACGGGGAGCATTGTCGGCCTCTCGGTGCAAAAATAACCCTATGACTTGTGACATTAAATATAAGCTAGAACATCACCGTGCAGGAACTCGTAACTCAAGTACTGTGGCGATAAAAGACTGCCTTCATGTGAGTCAGGGTTGCTTTCTTTTTTTAAAGGGGGAGAGTGAAATATTCTGTCCAGTTACTGCTCTCGGCTTGGTGTCCAGCCTGCCAGTGACTTCCTGATGGAAGGACCAGGCACCAGGAAGAGAAATGAGGCATCCTCAGACAGGCCTGGACTCTCCCTCTGAAGTGCAGGGTCACGGGTCAGGATGGACCAGATGGGGGTTTTGACCTAAAAGAGGACAAGTTCATGTGCTTTCTCCAGTTGGTCAGAAGCACCTTTGGTAGCCTGTGCCCAGAGGTGGGGCAGGGCAGTGGGCGTGGGGCCGCACTTGCTTCACGGACCACGCCCCCTACCCCACCCCGGGTCCCCAGGCTGGAGTCTTCGAAGATGGAATCCTTAGCTTTGAATCACCTCCGTGGGTGGGGGGGGGGGGTCATCTTTAAATGTCTTTCCAGAGGCGTTCACGAGGACAGAACAGGCCCGCCTCTTAACCCGGGAGCCTCTGACCTTTGGGAGCAGGAGGGCACCCAGGCTGGGGGCGGGGTACCAGACCCTTTTCCCCAACTCCCCGATGGCCTCCGGCCTCCGTTCCCCCGCCCGCCCGCCTCGGGTGGCACAGCGAGCCCAGCGCAGGGTGCTGCTTCATCGTTGTTGCTCACACTGTGTCCAGAACCTGGACTCCCCTTGAACAGGTTTGTGTAACCCTTTTGACTACAACCCCCGGCCCCTCTCCCAGATGCCCGTGTCGCCAGCTGGTCACTGTTGGCCCCCGGGTTGTTCCACCTGCTCCCCGGTGGGGTGGGTGTCTGCTCCCCGTCCAGCCCCGATCTCAGCATCCTCTCAGGTTAAGGTGTCATGTCTTCCTTCCCATCTGCTCCACACCCCGCATCCCCTCTTCCCCCGCGTAATTTTGCATTCCACTGCTACCAAGGCCTGTCCTGTCCTTACCCCTTTGTTGCTGTCTTCACCTGATCATCCTGTGCTCCCCTGGAGGTTTCCAAAATGAGCTTCTGGCTCCCCCATAAGCCATTTTCGGGGCAGCATCTCCCTCTGAGGCTCTCAAAGGAAGTTGTGTCTGACTCGACCTGCGGCGTTTTTCAAAGGCTTTTTCTCTTCCTGGTCCTTGGGTGAGAAAGGAGTGGCCCCTGAGGTTTGACCACAGCCTGGAGAACCGTCGGCCCTTGGCCTGGACGGCTGAGCCGGGGAACACAGTCCCAGCCCCTGGAAGACACTCTGGCCCTGCTCTGCGGGGAGCCCCATCCCCCCGATGGGTGGGCAGACACATGGATGGGGTGGCTCCTCTGGCTGTGGGTCGTCAGGGCTCCCTCTGCCTGCTGCCTTGCAGGCCGCCATCCAACAAATCTGGGCCCCTCCCGGCGAGGCTGTCCCCATCGCCTGCTCCGTCGGATTCTGAAGATCTATCAGCAGAGCCCGTGGATGGAAAAAACTTGCTTCTGACGCTGGAAAATGGAGACGAGATGAAGCACCTCCCCACATCCACCCTGCAGGCTTCTCTGTGCCCACGCGGGAGGGGCCGCCTCCATCCTCAGGGTCCTGAGTGCTGTCCTTCCACGATCCCTGAGTCAGCGAGGCTGTGTCGGGTCCACCTGGAGCCAGAAGCCTGAGGACTGTTCTAGGGTTTCCCGCCCGGAGGACTCTGCTCCTCTCCTTAACGAGTGCTTGTTTTTGCAGGACATAGGCGATGCCTGGAGTTCTCTCTGCATCCACTTTGGGTCTGACGTCGTGATGGGTGCAGAGCTGATGCTCGGCGCAGTGATTTCCTCTCCTGTTGGGCTGACAGCTCGAAGCTTCTGGGTTTGGAGTTGGTGGAAGGACCCGTGCTGTGAGATAAGCCCGCGCACCCACGTTAGTTAGGGTCTAGCGCAGGTGTCCGCGTGGTGGCGTGTTCTGGGCTGACGTGTCCCCTCACTGCTGATCAAAGTCTTTCCAGCCTCAGTTTTCCCGTCTGTAACATGGAGCTGATGCTGCCCATTGCCTTGGGCGTTTCTGTGGGAAGCGTGAGGCCTGGTACAGGCTTTCCAGGTGGCTCTAGAGATAAAAAACAACCGCCTGCCCATGCAGGAGAGGTAAGAGATGCGGGTTCGACCCCCGGGTCAGAAGATGCCCTGGAGGAGGGGATGGCAGTCCACTCCGCGGGAGGCGGGGTGACCTGCTCCTCCCCTTGGCCTGCCTGGAGGAGACAGGCCCCTGGTCCGTGGTCCCTGGAGGCTGCAGCCCCTCCCCAGCCCCACGGGTGCTGCCCGGCGGGTCCAGCTCTCCCAGCTTGCTGGCTGCGCTTCGCCCGCCCTGAGCTCTGCCTGCTCATGTTTTCCCGGGCTCAGCTCCTTCCGCGGGCCTCGGGCGGCGGGAGTCCGCCTCTGCCCAGAGGCCCGCCCTTTTCTCGGGTTTTCTCCTCACTTCCGCCAGGCCCTTTGCCTCCTGGTTACCTCTGTCCTGGCGCCCCCCCATCTGACCACAAGTCCCCCAGAGCAGGGGCGGGACCTGTTCTGATGACCGTATCACCCTCAGCATCGTGTCTGCTTTGTGGGCAATGGTGAAAGGACCTTTAAAAAATTTTAATTGTGGTAAAAAATACATTTTTTTTAAACCACAAAAAAGACCCTGATGCTGGGAAAGATTGAAGGCAAGAGGAGAAGGGGACAACAGAGGATGAGATGGTTGGATGGCATTGCTGACTCAAATGGACATGAATCTGAGCAAGCTCCGGGAAGGACAGGGAGGCTGGGCGTGCTGCACTCCATGGGGTCGCAAAGGGTCAGACACGACTCAGCCATGGAACAACAGAACCATCACGTGAAACTGACCATTGTGATCATCCTAAGGGTGCAGTGAAAGTGCACAGTTCAGGGTATCAGGTGCATCTACACTGTCAGCTGTCACTACCCGCCTTGACTCTCTTCATCTTGGAAATCAGAAACTCGGTCTCCGTTCAACAGGAACTCCCCACCTCCCTCTCCTTCCAGCCCCCCATCTCCGTTCTCTGTCTCTAAACCTGGCTCCTGCAGGGACCCCCTGGGGAGGGAGGGAACCACACAGGATGTACACTTTCCTGTCTGCTTTATTCCACTCAGCCTCATGTCTTTAAGATCCTCCCCTGTTGTAGCCTGAGTCACAGTGTCCTTCCTTTTTAAGCCTGAATCACACTATGAACACATTTCGAATGTGTGCATACAACCCTTCTGAGACTTAACCTCTGTTTGGACCCTTCCAGGCAGGGGCCCACCCATTACTGGGCAGCTCTGATACCTAGACCGCTGTCTCTGCATGCCGAGCAGGTCCTGGCTCCGCACTCTAGGGTCCAGGAGACATCCACTCCTCCAGTCCCACAGTCGTCCTTCAGAGACCTGGAGACCGGAGTCCCCGAGTCACTGGGTCCTGGGCGGTGGTCGTTCATCCCTGGGCAGCCCGAGGCACCTGCACGTCACACTCGTCCCCCACTGGCTGCCCAGGGGTGCAGAGGCGTGGAGCTGGTGTCTTGGCCGAGCCTCTGCTGACCAGCCTGGACACACTCGTGGGTTTGCTTGAGGCCAAATAACCATGATGGAGCCTGTTTTCCTCTTGAATCTCACTCCACCCTCTGGATTGGCCTCCATGGGCGGAGCTGAGCGGTCGTCTTTGGCAGCCAGAGCTACCCACGTGTGTAGACGGTGAGTCACAGCGCCCGGGGCTCCTAGGGCGTCCACACCACCAGTGTCCCCACACCATCTCCCATCCGTCAGCGCCCTGCATACAGCGTCCATGTGCTGTGGAACCCGGGAGCCTGGGGCCCTTGGGGGCAACAGAAAGGGAGCGGTTCCTTGACAGCCCGTCTCCGGGGGCATCAAGAGAAGCCTGGCTGCAGGGCGGCTCCTGCCTTCGGGTGGCGGTCAGCAAGGGGGTGTCATGGGGTGCATGCTGGCCTCCCACAAAATATACCTATATTCCCCCATAAGCCCCCGAACCTGTGAGTGGGAACTTATTTGGAAAAAGCACCTTTGCAGATGCTAAGGATCCTGATACGAGGAGGTCACCCTGCATTCTGGGACTGGCCCTAAATCTAAGATGTGTCTTTATGAGAGAAAGGAGAGGAGAAGCCACAGACCCGGGGGAAGAGGCCACGTGATGACAAAGGCAGGGAGTGTGCGTTGCAGCCCTGGGCCCTAGGGCGCCTGGAGCTCCCAGGAGCCGGGAGAGGCAGGAAGGGCCCGCCCCTGGAGCTTTCGGAAGGACCACAGCCCTGCTGGTTTTGGACCTGTGTCCTCCGGAGCCATGCGAGAATCAACTTCACTGTTTTAACCCTCAGCATTTGGTCCTCTGTTATGTTCCACATAGGATTCTCATCTAAGTGCTCCAGGAAGTCTTCCTGGACCAGGGTCCCCAGACGCCCATTGTCCTGGGGCGGTTGTGGGGAGGAGGCTTCCAAGGAGGGCCCAGTAGGTAGCCTCCTGGGAGGGGCAGAGTGATTCTGGAACATTCCAGGAGGTGGTGATTTGACATCCCTGGTTAAATACAGTTCAGTGGTCACCATGTGGCTCAGAACCCTGGAGCCGGGCTCCTGGCCACACTGCTATGGGTCGATCAGAGGGCAGCTGGCTGGTCCTCTGGTGTTTCTGGGTTAGCCCCCTCTCAAGGGCTAGGTGGGAAAAGAAAGGATTGCCCAGTAGCAAACCTCAGCCTAGTTGGCTTTAGAGAAATCACTGCATAATATTACGTTTCGTGAGACATCAGATGATGTGGAAAATGCATGATGAATACCAGGAGATGCCAGCTGCCCAAGGGCCAAGCGAGCACAGCAGGGCCTGGGGAGGCAGGGTGGGGCCTGGGCTCCGTGACCTCTGGCAGCGGGCCCTCCTCCCCAGGCTTGACCGGGGGGCCCGTCTCTGCACCACCACCCCGAGGACCTCTGCCAGACATGCCGATCTGGGCAGGGGAAGACATGACTGCCAGTCAGCAAAGCTGGCTGCTGGGTCAGAGACAGCGAGCAGGAAAATCCAGGGAACTTCCTGGTGGTCCAGTGGTGAGGACTGGGCACTTTTCAAGCTGTGTCTGGGTTCAATTCCTGGTCAGGGAACCGAGATCTTACAAGCTCCATGGCATGGCAAAAAAAAAAAATGCAAGTACTCCAAAGCCCATTCTTTGCCCCCAGATCGGTGCCTCGGTGGTCCGTGTGTACTGAGGGGTTCCCCGAGGGAGGGGTCAGACACTGACCACCCCCGGGTGTGGGGCAGGGGCTCTGGCAACGCTGCTGCCCCGGGGAGGGACGAGGTGGGGGGCGGTCTGTGACCTCAAGCAGGGTGCTCCTTCTCTCCTGGGGGCAGGGCCCCCCTGTGCACAGAGGCTTGGCCCCCTCCCCACCCCCCACCCTGCCTGCCCCTGCCCGCTTTGGGTTCTCCCCAGGTCCACGAGACAGTGTGCAAATTGCTGGCCTGAGAGCCGACCCTTCTGTTCTCTGCGGATTGGGGGAAGGCTTGCAGAGACGCCCAGGCCCTCAGGACCCCTTGTTTCTCTCCAGGACTCTAGCAGGTAGCCCAGGTGAACGCAGCCCGAGGGCAGCGGTCTCCTCTGCACTCTGCCCGCCCCGCCCCCGCCAAGCCCCACCCCCGGCCGTCAGCGGTCTCCTGGTGGACGTCACCTTCAGATGCCTCTGCTCCTCACCCCCAGACCCATCAGCTTGGTCCCGGCCACCTCTGCTTCCTCCCGGACTGTTCCCGTGGCCTGGACCTGGTGCCCTGGCTCTCACCCCGCCTGCCGTCCAGGCTGTGTCTGGAGAGAGGCTGGCCGTGCTGCCGCCCACGGTGGGCAAACCTCTGTCCCGGTGCTGTGACCCTTAGGTCTCAGCCTCCAGCCCTGGCCGGCCCTCTGGGCCTCCGTCAGAGGAAGGGGCATCGGTGAGTCCACGGAGGGCTCGTGGTTGAGCGCACCGGCCTCAGGGCCTTTGCACCTGCTGCTTCCCCCTGATTTCACACAGTCTCTGTCCCTCTGCAGGGACACCTCCCTTGAGCCTAAACTGCCTGTTTCCCATCAGTTCACCGTGCTGAAGGGTCAGTTCTGCTGCTGCCCACCTCCCTCCACGCTGCCCCCCAAAGTCTCCCCCTCCTCCTTCCAGCTAAGCTGCTGCTCTGCTTTTACCGCTCGCTGTGGTCCCCCTGCCCAAGACCCTGAAGCCTGCCCCCTGCTGGCTTCGAGGTCCTCAGCAACCAGAACGGTGTCTGCAAACCAAGACTGTCTTCACAAATACTTGTTGGAGGAGTGGGCTGTGTGTGTGCTCAGAGTGAAGCGTTGCAGCAGGAGGAGCCCCTGGCGGCAGTCCAGTCCCGGCCCCATGGTCTAGGATGAGGCCGGGGCGGGCAAGGAGGTGCAGAGAAACGTGAGTAACCCGTGGCTCCCACCCGCGTCCCAGAGGATCCTGTCCACCAGGTGGGACCAGGGACCATGATCTCCACTTGCTGAGGGAGAAACAGGCCCAGGGGATGCGTTAGCTCCTCAGAAATCCCTCCGGCATCCAAAGCCCCGGCTCTTTCTGCTGCTGCAGTCTCGGCAGGCGGGCTGGGACAACCCCGGGTGCTAGGGAGGTGCAGCCGCGGTCTGATCAGCCTCTGGGAAGAACGGAGAGAGGTTCTGGGAGGTTCTGGGGTGCTGCCCCTCGTCCACCTGCCTGTCCCGAGGAGGCTGCCCACCTGGGCAGAGGCTGGCATAGCCCGGGTCCTCGCGCTCCGCAGTTCCGGAACCCATCTGTCTCGTCTGTGCCCATCTGTCTGGTCTGCTGCTCTGGGAAGTTTCCCCGAAGCTCCTGTCCTGGGGCAGACACAGCTCGGACACCCGCAGGACCCTGGGCTGGCCTGGTGTGTCCCCGGGGAGGGGGCCTCCTCCCGCGTGGCTGTCGGAGTCTTGATGGGAGCTTGGTGTGTTGCTGTGGCCTCGAGAGACCGGTCGCCCCCCAGGACCGGCGCCTCTGCTGGGGACTCCCCGAGAGTGCTGGGGAAGGGCACTGGCAGGACCCCGGGGCAGGCTGAGGGGGGTCCGGTCGCTCGCAAGTGCGGGGGGCCTCTTGGTGCCAGTACAGCCCCCAGGGCTCCTTATATGGACGCGGAGTGGAGTCGGCCCTGGGTGGGGGGCAGGCAGGAGGACCCGCAGACCTGGGGGCAGCCTCCTCGCCGGCCGAGGGCCCTGGTCACCTGTAGGGGTTCCTGTTCTGATGGGCGGCTGGACCCAGGACTCAAGGCTGACCTGAGACCGGGGTGTCCTGGTGGAAGTGCGCTCAGGGACCAGGAGACACTGCGGTCTGGTCGCCAAGGGAAGGGTCAGCTCCGGGGGGCAGTGACAGGCCTTCTGTCCCCGGCTGGGGGAGGAGAAAGCCGCTTCTGAAACCCTGAGACACCCCAGGGTGGCTCACGCCCACCCTGAGGCGTTTCAGAGGCACCAGGCCGAGGTCTCTGCCTCTGGGTTGCTCCTCCCAGAGGTGCTGCTTATTTCTGATGCTTGATTTGAGTTGTTCTCTGTATGAATATTAGTAATCAGTGAACTAAAATGAACTGAAATGGGCAAATTTAATTCAGATGACCATTATATCTAAGGCTTCCTTGACAGCTCAGTTGGTAAAGAATCTGCCTGCAATGCAGGAGACCCTGGTTTGATTCCTGGGTCGAGAAGATCCGAGAAGGGATAGGCTACCCACTCCAGTATTCTTGGGCTTCCCTTGTGGCTTAGCTGGTAAAGAATCCACCTGCAATGCGGGAGACCTGGGTTGGGGAGATCCCCTGGAGAAGGGAAAGGCTACCCACTCCAGTATTTTAGCCTGGAGAATTCCATGGACTGTATAGTCCATAGGGTCACAAAGAGTTGGACATGACTGAGTGTGGGCAAGAACCCCTTAGAAGTAATGGAGTAGCCCTCATAGTCAACAAAAGAGTCTGAAATGCAGTACTTGGGTGCAAACTCAAACATGACAGAATGATCTCTGTTTGTTTCCAAGGCAAACAATTCAATACCACAGTAATCCAAGTATATGCCCCAACCAGTAATGCTGAAAAAACTGAAGTTGAACTGTTCTATGAAAACCCATAAGAGCTTTTAGAACTAACACCCAAAAAAGATGTACTTTTCATCATAAGGGACTGAAATGCAAAAGTAGAAAATCTAGAGATACCTGGAGTAACAGGCAAGTTTGGCTTGGAGTACAAAATGAAGCAGGGCAAAGGCTAACAGAGTTTTGCCAAGAGAAGGCGTTGGTCATAACAAACACCCTCTTCCAACAACACAGGAGACAGCTCTACACGTGGACATCACCAGATGGTCAATACCAAAAGTAGATTGATTATATTCTTTGCAGCTGAAGATGGAGAAGCTCTACATAGTCAGTAAAAACAAGACTGGGAGCTGACTGTGACTATGTGACCATCACACTATATAATTCTAGACCATTTTCATCACCCCCTAAGAGCTGACTGGGGCTCAGATCATGAACTCCTTATTGTAAAATTCAGACTTAAATTGAAGAAAGTAGAGAAAACCACAAGACCATTCAGGTCATACCTAAATCAAATCCCTTACGATTATACAGTGGAAGTGACAAACAGATTCAAGAGATTAGATCTGATAGACAGAGGCCTGAAGAGCTATGGACAGAGGTTCATGACATTTTACAGGAGGTGGTGATCAAAACCATTCCCAAGAAAAAGAAATGCAAAAAGGCAAAATGGTTGTCTGAGGAGGCCTTACAAATAGCTGAGAAAAGAAGAGATGTGAAAAGCAAAGGAAAAAATGAAAGATACATACACCTGAAGGCAGAATTCCAAAGAATAGCAAGGAGAGTTAAGAAAGCCTTCCTCAGTGATCAATGCAAAGAAATAGAGGAAAACAGTAGAATGGAAAGACTAGCGATCTCTTCAAGAAAATTAGAGATACCAAGGGAAAATTTCAAGCAAAAATGGGCACAATAAAGGACAGAAATGGTATGGACCTAACAGAAGCAGAAGAGATTAAGAAGAGGTGGCAAAAATACAAAGAAGAACTATACAAAAAAGATCTTCATGACCCGGATAAACACGACGGTGTGATCACTCACCTAAAACCAGACATCCTGGAATGTGAAATCAAGTGGGCCTTAGGAAGCATCACTATGAACAAAGCTAGTGGAGGGGATGGAATTCCAGCTGAGTTATTTCATGTCCTAAAAGATGATGCTGCACTCAATATGCCAGCATATTTGAAAAACTCAGCAGTGGCCACAGGACTGGAAAAGGTCAGCTTTCATTCCAATCCCTAAGAAAGGCAATGCCAAAGAATGTCCAAACTACTGCACAATTGCACTCATTTTGAATGCTAGTAATGTAATGCTCAAAATTCTCCAAGCCAGGCTTCAGCAATACGTGAACAGAGAACTTCCAGATGTTCAAGCTGGATTTAGAAAAGGCAGAGGAACCAGAGATAAAATTACCAACATCTGTGTTGGATCATTAAAAAAGCAAGAGAGTTCCAGAAAAACATCTATTTCTGCTTTATTGACTATGCCAACACCTTTGACTGTGTGGACCACCACAAACTATGGAAAATTCTTCAAGAGATGGGAGTACCAGACAACCTGACCTGCCTCCTGAGAAATTGGTATGCAGGTCAAGAAGCAACAGTTAGAACTGGACACAGAGCAACGGACTATTTCCTAATTGGGAGAGGAGTACGTCAAGGCTGTTTACTGTCACCCTGCTTGACTTATATGCAGATTACATCATGTGAAATGCCAGGCTGGATGAAGCACAAGCTGGAATCAAGATTGCCGGGAGAAATATCAATAACTTCATATATGCAGATGACCCCACCCTTATGGCAGAAAGTGAAGAAGAACTGAAGAGCCTCTTGATGAAAGTGAAAGAGGAGAGCTGAAAAGCTGGCTTAAAACTCAACATTCAAAAACAAAGGTCATGGCATCGGGTCCCATCACTTCATGGCACATAGATGGGGAAACAATGCAAACAGTGAGAGACTTTATTTTCTTGGGCTCCAAAGTCACTGCAGGTGGTGACTGCAGCCATGAAATTAAAAGATGCTTGCTCCTTGGAAGAAAAGCTATGACCAAGCTAGAAAGCATATTAAAAAGCAGAGACATTACTTTGCCAACAAAAGTTTGTCTAGTCAAAGCTATGGTTTTTCCATTGGTCATGTATGGATGTGAGAGTTGGACTATAAAGAAAGCTGAGCGCTGAAGAATTGATGCTTTTGAACTGTGGTGTTGGAGAAGACTCTTGAGAGTCCCTTGGACTGCAAGGATATCCAACCAGTCCATCCTAAAGGAAATCAGTCCTGGGTGTTCATTGGAAGGATTGATGCTGAAGCTCCAATACTTTGGTCACCTGATGCAAAGAACTCACTCATTATAAAAGACCCTGATGCTGGGAAAGATTGAAGGCAGGAGGAGAAGGGGGTGACAGAGGATGAGATGGTTGGATGGCATTGCTGACTCAATGGACATGAGTTTGAGCAAGCTCTGGGAAATAGCGAAGGACAGGGAAGCCTGGTGTGCTGCAATCCATGGGTCGCAAAGAGTTGGACACGACTGAGCGAATGAGCGACAAGTGGGCACTTGATCTTTCAGTGGCAGCTGTTCTCGGCGGATGTTTGAAGGCAGCAGGTGACAGGTTCCGTTTTCTCACCTCTGACCACCAGGGATGCTGCTCCTGGGGGCTCTCCCATGGGCTCTCCTCGGAGTTGCCTGTCACTGACCTTGGCTGGCTCTCTCCACCCTTTGAAGCAGCAACTTGGAATGCTGATCAGGAAGAGGGGTCTCCTGCCTCCTCATCAAGGCTGAGATCACCCACTCCCTCCTGTCCCCAAATTTTCGAGGGGCTCTGCCTCTTCTGGGAATGGGACGACTACCTGGGTGGGGACAGGGCAGAGCGCTTGTTTGCCTGCCGCCTGTGGCCCGGGCTCCAGGCCTGTGTGACTGTCGTTGCCTTCAGTGTGGAGTCTTGCCTCTTTGGTGCTGTTTCACCAAGTGGCCACCATCCTTCTGTCCCCGTGCCAGCGTTTTACCGCTGTTATCACAGATGCTGGTGTTCTGGTGGACATGAGCTGTTACCTCTGGTCTCTGCTGGGATGCGAGGCCCAGGGCTGAAGAATCTCCATGCATCTGATCTTCTTCAAAGCTCACCCTGCCTCACTTTCCGTTGAGTGCTGACTCGGACTGTCACACGGATGGACACCCTGGCCCGTGTCCTGTTCGCGGTGCTGGGCTTGTGGCAAAGGTGAGGAGGAGCGTCCTGGCCACTTGTAGATTAGGATCTACTGGCTGAGAGCGTGGGGAGGGTGGCCGCTGCCACCCCACCATGCGCTCTCGATGGGATTCTGCAGGGAAGAGGGCCCGTCTGTCTGTCCGTCCGTCGTGTGCCCCCAGCTCCGGGTCCAGGCCTGAGCTCATCGGCCCCTGGAGCCGTGAGGCCAGACCCCAGCTAGGCTGCTGTGTTGCTCATGAGAACATGTTGGCTGTGTGCACTGGAAGAGGAGAGGAGGGAATGGCCAGGAGCCTGGCCACTTCCCTCTCCTGCCGCAGGGCATGAGGTCTGGGGCAGGCACAGGAGCAGCTGAGGGTCCCGCACCCGAGCGAGGCCCTTGAGCCCATCCACAGCCCCACCAGGACGGTACCACTGTGCCCATCTTACAGCTTGGCAAGGCGAGGCCTCAGGGAGCAGCATATCCTGGGGGCAGCCATAGCTGAGTCCCACACCGGGGCAGGGGGGCCTCGGTGGCAGGGCCTCCCTCACCCTGCCCCCACAGGGTCTTCCCCACTGACGCACTTTCTTCGGCTTCTGTAAACACAGTTCCCTCACGTTGGTGACAATGGAAGCCCTGGATGTTTTAGCGAGAGTACATTCACCTTTCTCCCTGAGCAGAAACACCAGGAACGAAGGCTTGAGTCCAAGTCCCCACCCTCGGCGTGGCCAAGGGGAACTGAACCCCCTAGGCGGAGGGAGGCCCGCCCCTCCACCAGCGGCCATGGATGTCGGCGTGTGATTGGCTCTGAGCCTCTCCAAGTGTTTTTTCTAAAATTGTTAAAAATAACACAGTCTTGATTCAATTTCACTACCAAGTATGCACAGGCTGGCACTGCGGG